ACAGCCCCAGCCTCTCCTCACAGAGGCCCCTGCAGCCCCCCTGCCAGAGACTGGACAGGAAAACCCAGTACATAATTAAACAAAAACAAACAAGCATGGCTGCATAGCCATAAGGATTCATGATATGTTCATATCCCTTTTTTGAAAGGGAGAAGAAATTTTTCTGGATATGTTTGAAGATGAATACCGGAGTATGACAGTAAGTGAGACCCCTTCCACCCTGCCAAATCCTCAAACCCAGATACAACACAGGAGCAAGAACAAGTACTTATTGATAACTACTGAGTATGCTGGTATCTTTGTTTCCGGGAGTAGAATAACAAAATGTGGGTGGGTTTTTTTTCTCTCTGAGGAGTTGTGTCTACACTTACATAAATTGTTTATGTGAAATTTCACAGCGCTCTATTAAATAAAAGCCTATTACTTTCTGAAAGTGAATATACAAAAATTACTTTATCCTGGGAAATGAGACATTGGATTAATTTTTTTTTTTTCTAGTTACTAAACAATGTGAAAATCTTCCCATATCTTTCTGAAGCCCAGCAAGGTTTCAGTTTTGAGTGGTGCCACTTACCAGTAGAGAACAGGGTTCTAGGGAGCAAATATCAGGGCCTTTGTCTCATCTAGGAGAGGTACTGCCTACACTGCAGTACCAGCTGTGAAAGTTTTAACAGATTACTAAGATTAATCTCAGACAGTTCATATTTAACTGGTAAACATGTTTTAAAACTAATCATCTGTTTCAATTCAATAGAATTCGGATGAAAGTACAGTGGTACAGGATTTAATGAGCAGCCACTAGCTGTCTTTTCGAAAAAGCACAATCTACAGTTGGTGTGTTGCAATAAGTCTTTTAATATGGGAAGCATCTTGCACGTATCTTACCAACCTAAATAATAGAAGTATTTAGTGAAACATTTAATTTTCTAGTAGTTAAGTATTGCTGTACTTTTAGTTTGAGAAGTGGCACCGATACTAGCATCATTTTTATGTTGCAAGTTCAGTATACGTGTAGGTTTTTCTGTTGTATCTCTGAGACTGCATTTTTTTTTATTTACCATAAAAGACAGAGCTACACCCTGGAGCTTGAACTTTGTTATCATTAAACCATATTTATTCACCTAGCTAGCAAATGACTTGCTGGGCAGGCTCATTTAAGTGCTAAGTAACACTGATATTGTCTTGTCAGATGAGTTGTGTAAGTAACATGGTATAGAGCTTCTACGAAGGCCGAAGTATACTTGCTCTGTCTGAATGACAAAAAAAGGAAAAAGTTGTATCTTCATGAACGATAGATGAGAACGAGTTCAGAGGAGCAAATAAATTGAACAATGTAGTTCTTAATATTTTTGCTCTCAGCAATAAGTTTCCTTTTTTTAACATTCTTCACTTTTATGATGTAAAATGCTGTTTAAACCAGTGTACACTCATGTGAATTGCATCTGAAATAGTTATTTACTTGTTAGAAATTTTAGTTCTGTGTTCTCATTTGTTCTTCTTGTCTATGTAGATTTCTATCTTTCTACACATTAATTGAATTTGTTAATCCAGTGTTTTAGTCGCTGAAGATGAATTGTTCTGAGATCAGAAAAATTGGCTAAAGACTATTTTTGAGTTTGTATGTGTGCAAGGCAGCAGTTCAAGACTGCACTATGAAAATTCTGGACCTTGTTTCAGTCTGCTTCTTTTATGGTATCTGACCATGGCAAAGTGGCCAGGAATGCTTCCAGTTACAGCTGACTATCTTGGAATGCCCACGTGACTGCATTTTTCTTCTATGCAGAATATCGTACAAGCTGTGGGAAGGGCTTTTATATGTCTTAGGCATTCCAGATGGCTTTCTGGCAAAAAGAAGCTCATGTCTCCAGTGCATGTGTATATAACAGAACTTGGATGAAATTTCCCAAAGGTACAGAAGGATAGATATTTCAGACATTATTTATTCATGACAATAAGCAACCATGTAAGGGAGAGACTCTGTTAGTGGCAAGATTGAAGGGAATTGTCTAGTGTGAAAGTTTCTGTGTTATTAGAGACTAGAGAGTTCTTTTTGGAGAGAAATAGATATGGGAAACTTTTTCTTGTGATTGAAGTAATTACAAATTTGAGTCAAAATGTAAAATCAAACCTGACAGACTTTGGGTTTTGGTACTCATGAAATAGCTTTTCTTCTGTAATCTTTCAGAGTTTTTTCCCGTGTTTTTTCAGTATGGAAACTTCAACAGTGTGTTAGGGAACGATGAGCAAATATAAAATAGAGATTGCATGTAAGGAGCTTAAAATAAGATGGATGGTATCAAAAATTCTCACAAGTCTAACAATTCCTTTCTCTTGAAATATGCAACCATGAGTTGTATTTGAAAGTAAAGATGCAAATGCTTATTGTTCTGTATAGTAATCAACGTTAAAATATTTTTATAGATTAAACCCATGAATGTAGAGTACTTGATGATGGATGCCTCAATCTTGTTGCCTCCAACGGGGACACCACTGACTGGTATTGATTTTGTGAAAAGATTGCCTTGTGGAGATGTGGAAAGAACACGAAGAGTGAGTAAGACTATTTTTCTTATATTTGTTCATGACAGAATGATGCCAAAGGCTTTCAACAATTCTAGAAATAGAAACTTTTTGCTTGAAAGCTGCTTGATTGGAAGCTTAATCCATAAAATAATAAAGACTTGATGAAGACAGACCCGTGTGTGGAGTATATAATATTTACCTGTCCAGTGGAGAAACTTTTTCTCTACAATTTCTTGTGTCTAGTCAATTCAATATGTTCTTGCACTGGGGTTTTAATTTTTTTAGACCATGGAGACATCTACATAAAAAGGCATTTTGATGATACTCAATATATATTGTCAGTTTCCTTTTGTGATCTGATATCTCGATCTATCTTTCCTTATATTCCTATAGTAAGAATCTCCCCTGGAAGGCTGTCTGGTTTCATATTGCTTGTGTTTCTAGACGTAGCAGAAAATATAATTCTACTCAGGAGTGTTAATCTCGCTGAAGTAATTCATGATAGAGATCTTGAGAGTGAGGAGAAAAATAGCAAAATATATATTTTTATGACTGATACAATCTGTAGAGGTGATACTGTCCTGAATAACAACATCATTATCAGCATTCTTGGGATAATCAGTTCTTGGCCCTTATCTGGCAGTGTCCTGTAAGCCTTGCAGTGCCAGTAAATCTTAAAGATATATTACTGCACGACGTTATTATTTGGAAAGTGCTGTTCTTTGGGTAGCTTTGCATTTATGTAAATGTATATGTAAGTATATTCAAGTACTCTTGAAAAAACATATTTCCAGGAATCTTCTGAAAAGTTTTGTTTTCATTACTTATTATAAGCCACACAACTTTTGTTATCACAGCAAGTTAAGTTTGATAAAGTACAGTGAATTATCTTGAAAAGTATTGTTCTTAGAAAGGAAAAATGTGGCCTAGAATTCTCTGAGGCATTTAACAGAATGATACTTAGAAATGCACATTAATGGAAACTGACTGCTCCATGGTTTTTCATGTGCTAACTAAGGAATAGCTTAACTTCTGTTGGTGGAAATTCAAAAATCAATACAAATATTCCTGTAAACTCTTTGGGATGGAAGGGTCTTTCTTATTAGCAAGAACTCCCAGAATGCTTCCTTGTTGGTCCTCCTTCCCCTGATAGCATTGCTCTAGAAGTTTTAGAATTTCTTAGAATTCCTAAGCTACTTTTTTCCTAGGCTACCTCTCTTAGGCTGAATTGCCATAACAATATGCTGAACTTCAGGTGTATCTTGTGACATTGCTGCTGCCACTTAACCTGCTGGAGGTCCTTTTTGCTGACAGTTTCAAATGGATAGTGATTCAATTCTGAGCATCGCATGGCATGATTCTAAAAAAGTTCTCATGTTTTATTTCACTAGCAAGTAAAGAAGTCCCATACTTTGATTATATCATGAGTTCTTAGCTGTTAGAGATCAGATCTTTTTAGGCTCTCACTTCTTCTTTTGCTATAGAAAGTCCCTCTCAGTGGCAATTCTTTTCCTCTTAACAACTGTAGGAGGAACTCTCAGAAACCAGGTATCTTTCGAGTTATCAAAGGCACATCTCCAAAATCCAGACAACCAACCCCTCTGACTTAAAACATTAAAATGACCAGAAGTTGTTAGGCTGCTTTCTGAAATCAGCTACTACTGCTTGATCAAGCCTTCTGCCGAGAATCAGATGCTCCTTTGAATTGTTGATAGTCCAGTTACTGCTTGTTGGTTGCATCTCTTCCTTCTGATTTCTATAGTCCTAAAGATGGTACTGCTTACCAGTCACGTAGAATAATGCAAACTCATTTACGTGCTTATTTGGGAAGTAATGAACAGTATGGGTCTTGAACTCTGCACCTTGGAGTACATAGCAAGCAAAGACTTTGAGAGAAGGTTTTGAACTACCTGTGAGAACGCTATTTCATGGGAATGTAATAACATACTGGTAGGTTTCCCTGCAACCTGTTATTTCTTTGCACATGGTATGTGTATATAAATGAAGGAGTCAGCGCAAAGTATACCTCATCATAATGCGTAGTTCTTTAATGTAGATAGCAATTCATATTTGTTCCTACTTAACCAAGAAAACAGAAGTCAGCTGAAAAAAAATTCTAGGCCACTGAACTGCTCTGCTGTTTTACTGAGATCTAATAAAATGTTATAGGAAGTCACAAATCACATGCTTTTGGGTTTATATTGATATTGCTAGCAAACTGAGGGCTATCAGTATTGTAGGAAGCACAGTGTAGTTCCCTTTTCATCTGATGTTCTGATTATTTTTGCTTTCCTTGCAAAGGCTGAAGTTCTAATTTTCTTTCCTACTCCTGTAGATTATTCTGCAGTAAATGTGATTACATGTTTGGAGATGAGTGGCATTAGTTTTATAGGGAATGTATGGGAGGAAAATTAGTGCTCTGTCTAGGAGGGAAAGAGGATTGAGGGGAAAATAAGTGAAAGCAGGCTGAGTGATGGCTGCCTTCTGAAATAAAAAAAAAAAAAAAAAGTTGGGTTTGACTTTTGGGTTACCAAAAATGCAAGGATGTTGCTGTTCTTGATTGAATTTGGAAACTTTTAAACCCAATACCATGAATTCTTCTTGAAGCATCTGTTAGTAAAACTGCTTTATAGTAATCCTATTTCATTTCAGAAAATCTAGAATACATTAGAATGCAATCTGCCTAAATGGGAGGGATCATCTCCCATTATAAAGTGACTCTGCTCTTACATAAGGTAGTGTTAATATCGTATTTTTGTTAGATATCCTTGACATTCTTTGCTCCGAATAATCATACTGCCCTATTAGATTTCAGCAGTGTACCAAATTCATCTGCTCTGGTGTCAATTCATGAAAGAGCCAGATATGACTTCCCTCTCTTCATCCCTGTTCTGCCAGCAGTTTCTGAAAGCACCGCCAGTATGATAGCTGACCAAGCACTCACATTTCTGGTTCACAGGAGCCACAGTTCTGCTGATTTTAAAAATAGAGGGGAGAAGGGGTTTGCCTTAAAGCAGTTTAGATTTGTTTTTCCTAATACTTCCTGCAATCTGGGAGTTCCTGGGCACTGCAGCTGTTCCATGAATTTGATGCTTTTACTGTAAGGCAGCAGTTAATATACGGTATGCCACAGAATTACTATGTAGGAAACTGTTTTAAAAAAAGAAAACACCAGAAGTAATAAAAAATGATTTTTCATTTGCTGTACAGTTCTTGTAGTGGAAGAGGATTATAAATGGTGCCTTTCAAAATGTGGCTAATAAAAGGATGATTGTTCTTTGGTACTTTATTTAGTCTTTGCATACCATATGTCATTAATTTCTAAATCAAAACAAGAATATTAATTTCACAGAGCAGCTGTTGAAAGTTCCTTGGGACTGGTGCAGCTTTCAGAATGTTTTGCCCTGATGTAGACCTTCTGAGAATATCGATTAAGTTCTCCGAGAATGCTGTATTTGCACGTGGTTAATTTTGATGAACACAGCAAACGAAAACTCAGAAATCCCCACTGTTTTCTCTCAAACTCATAGACATCTTAGCTAGACTCAGCCAGAAAAGTTAAGTTCAAAATGTGGGAGTCTCTGAAGGTTGGTTGTGTAGTTGTCTGTAGTGTACAGGTATTGTAAATACAATCAGTCTTAAAACAATGATTTAATCTTGGATTATTTGGGGGTTTTTTGTTGTTTTTGCTTAAACAGCTCCTGTAATCATTTGCCTGTCAGTCACAGTCTGTGTAAGTGTGCCAGTGGGATAAAAGCTCTGCTGCTTCTATTTCATTGAAAATAAATAGCATGTTTCAACTCCTTCCATATACTTTTCTAATTAACTTTGAAATTACATTCTACTTTCTCAATTTAAAAAGTAGACTTACTGCATGACAACAAACTCAGGGGTTGTGAAAGCGAGTATGTGTTTGTAAGATTCTGTTAAAATATGTAGTACTGAGCACATCAATATTTTAATATTCTTTTTTTAATTTCTCAAGGCAATCAGAGTTTTCTTTATGCTCCGTTCGCTATCACTGCACTTGCGAGATGAGCCAGAAACTCAGTTACCACTCACAAGGGAGGAAGATCTGATAAAGACAGATGATGTTCTTGACTTGAGTAAGTAGTCCCTCAATTTCCCAAATAGTCTGAGACATGGAAAAATTGCTGGCTTTTTTTTTTAAGGTAAAACCCCCAAATAGTTATCTTGGCTGTATAATTGACTACAAAGGATGATTGTATTAAGTTTGTCTTCTACTGGCTTTGAAACACTTCTTGTATTTTTTTTTTTTAAAGAGACTATTAATAAATATTCCAGGGTTTAAATATTAGCACATAAAGGATTCACAGTCCATCTGGTTTCCTGGTATGTTAGTTTTCTAAGTTAACTGATCCTAGGAGGATTTTCTTCTATTCTGCTTTCACCTACTCAAAATGCACTTAAACCATTCATGGAGACTGGAGGTAATTACTCCAACAGCTACACTGTGCTGTTTTGTTGATACGGGGGTTTGGTCATCATCATGTGTCCCCCTGCTCTGGAGTTTTTTTTTCCTTCACATCTCTTCTGTCATTTTAAAGTTGGCTTATGGAAGCTTTTACTCCCATAGTTGAACAGGATGCTGATTCCCAAGGGGAATCAGTCTGTAATGTCCAGAATGACCTTGTGATACTAAGTAGTACTTATTATGAAGTAAAGGCAAAGTACCTTCTTTCTGCAGTATTATAGAATACTGCTGCGCTCTCCATACTGAAGAAACAAAAAAGTTTGAAGTAGTAGAATCATGAAGTATGCTATTTGTCTGCAAATTCAATATACCTGTATTCATTTAACATCAAAATATACATCTCTAGATGATGTTATGTGTTACTAAACAGTACAACTTGTAGAGTAACTCTGGCCTAAATCATAAAGCTGTAGTTTTACTGTCTCTAGCACTGACATTGTTTAAGAAACAGTAACTTGTCATGTTTTAAGTTAATCTTACTATAATGTGAGACACTTGCTTTTTGTTTAAAGGTTTAAAATATGTAGAGAAGTGTGCTTTTAGGCTAGAATTGAAAAGAAAGTATATGATAATATCAATACTATTAATTCCATTTCTTGTAATAAAGACCTAGAAGAATTTGACATATTGGTGTTAGCTGATAAGTAGCTAGCTTTTGTTCAGGCAGTTGTCTTATTAAGAACTTGCAGGTACCGTTCATAGCTTTAGAGGGCATGTGATTGCTAAAATGGAGTGTGTATTTGCTAGGGTTTTAATTTTTGAAGGTTTTTTCTTATAGAAGAAGGAAAAAAATGCTTGATGTTTCAGACATTAATTTTTTTGATTCTCTATGTTTAAGTGCTTGTTGATCTTACTCCGACTAAAAAAACCAGTCGCCCTAGTAGATGTTATGGGATTATGTCCAGTATCTGAGACCTTTTTGTGCATCAAGTCCATCAAGAATATTATGTGAGTGAAAGGAAAACACTGAAATCAAGTGAGCTAAGCAAAAGTTTTGTGATATCAGAGCTGCTGTGCAGTAGCTTAATGGATGAAATCCAGATTAAACCTTAAACAAATAAATAAACTATATTTCAAAATTACCATTAAAAATTTATTAAACTTAATTTTTAGAAAATATGTCTGCGATACTGAAAATGTCAGAGGACACTCCCTCTGGCATAAAGTCCAAGCCATGCAGGTTAGAGCAGTGAACGGTTTTGAGAATAAACTCATTTATCTGTAAATGTGGAAAGAATGCTATCAAAGCAGTTAACTGAACTTGTAAAAATGTACATGCTGTAGGATATGGACAGGCTTTTACTAAGTAAATGTAAGCATTAGGCTACAATAGATGAGAAGGTATCAAGATATCAGTGCAGTGTTTGCATTTTTGGTAGCTACATGGCCGATGGTGTGGAAGACTGACAGCTGAGTCATCGCAATTCCCATTTGTTGAATTTCTGTATTATTTAAAAGACTTAAGAAGATATACAGGGAAAATACTTCTTAAAATGTGTTCTTCAATAGTTGTATTGTGTCCTCTTCCTACTGGTACTGTTTGGCTTGGTGAATTAAGCAGAATGAGCTTAATGTAAACTCATCACTTTTGGTCTTTCCCAAAAAGCTTTCCCAAAGAGAATGAACAGCGCAAGATGTTGTTAATTACATTATGCAATTACTAGTTGTCAGGTAAAAAATGATGTCCAGAATTTAGTTACTGTTGACTTGCTAAAGGATTAGTAATATAGAAATAACTCAGTTTCCTGTTTCAAATGAGTTAGGTATTTATTGTAATGTTGGCTCTTTTTCAGAGGGTGAGATGAAATAATGAATCAGCTTCTACTGAAAAAAAAAGTGTTTTTCTTAAACTAACTGGAAATGTGATTATGAAGTAGTTGTTAGGTTTTTTTAAGAACATACTGAACAAAAAGTAGATCCGATTGAAATAGTTTCCAAATGTTATTTGTTCCTCTTCCCCACCCCCCAAAATAAAGAAAAAGAACACCTTTTGTCCTTGTTTATCTGTTAGTCTAGAGAAATGCTGATTGCTCTCATTCTAAAATCTAATGGACTGCACCGCAGGTATTGTGCTGTTCATTGCAGGTGTCTTTTTATTTATGACTTTTCATTTAAGGCAGTTGCTTTTACACAGAATACAATGTATCCTTTTCTTGGAACATGTCATTTAGACCATAGATTATTAATACTTCACTCTGTTATGTATAATTGTTTGTAATTTTTATTACATGTCCATTATGCCAGATTAATTGCTAAAGTAGTGGTCCACGCTCTGTATATTTAATGGTGGCCAAGGTTGTTTCCTTCTTCCAGTGTGGGATGCTGGATATAAATGGTTAAAAGGGTCTCTATATAGAAAGGACGTAAAAAAAGGGGAAAAAAAACTCCAAAACAACAAACTATTAGCCTGAAAATTAATTTGCTTCAATTTGAATAAAGTGTTCTAAAATGTAAAGATGCAATGCCTACTATAAAAAGGTTTTTTTTTAAGAAGTATTAAATTTAAAATTGTACAGTTGATTTAGAACATCACCCTTTTAGATTTAAACTCATTTGCTGCTTTAAGGCATATTATAGTTCTTAACTGTACAGTCATTAACTTAAAATATAAATTTATACTGACCAATATGAACTAAGGCCACAGTGGTACTGAGCTGCTTGTCACATGGTATTTGTATGCATGTGCATGAAGCTATTATTTGTTAGTATGTATATACATTCATATGTGTTTGCACACATGCGTATGTAAGTAGCGAAGAAAAATAGGTTCCATTGCCCTAGTCGTGGAACCTATGTGCTGGTGCTCTAGAGATCCTTACATGAGAAGAAACCCTTATATGACAGTCTTTTCTTTTTCTATAACTTACCTGATAACTCGCATCTTAATTTTCAGAAGACTTTATCCTTTCCACTACAATAAGCATAAACTCAAGCTTAAAATAAAAAATTAAAGTTAAAAAAACTATTTTTTTGAGATAGGAAGATTAGAATTCTCCTTTGAGTCAGCATTAAGATGTTTGAGAAGGTAAATGGTGGTATTTCAAATAAAGAACAACATTGGGATTGACTGAATACTTACTTATCTTTGATTCATTTAAAGGACTGGAGGTGCTTTTTCTTTGAGTGACTACTTACCTGTGCTTTTCCGCTTTCTTAATGGAAGGCAGGAGAGATGCCCGTATGACTGTAGTACATCCCAGGAGAGAACTGAAATAGTTTCATATGAATTAACCTATTTTATTTTATTCCTAAAGTATTGCCTGATAGTCCTCCCAACACCTTTGCTAAGTTGTGCTTTCCCAGTGCTCTTTTTTAGAAGAGCTCATGGATTTCTAGCTAGTGATTTCTAGCTTGTTTTTTTATAATCTGCAGACTATTCTACAATGAATATTTCATTGCTATCAAAATTATAATAGTAACAATGTGGAATTCTTAACACATCAGGTGATGTAGTTAAGATCACCTTTCCAATGTAGTTAGGAAAGGATTCAAGAAGTCTCACAACTGCAGTATAAAAGCAGAAGGACTCAAAATTGTGGAATAGTGCTTACGAATCATCTTGTAGATAAGAATCTGCCAGGCTATACTCACTTTAATTTTTTTGTAATACAATTTGAATTAAGCATATTGCTGTATGCTGGTAGCTCTTTGATTACAAAACCAGGAACTCACTGACAATAGCAATTACGATTTATTACACACTTGCAATTCGGGACAGCAGATCCACCCTTCTTTGGAGGAGAGAACCAAATTCTCATTAATGTAGACTTAAGCAACTGAGTTTATCTTTACAGAAGAAACCTCTCTAAGCTGCTTCTCCCAGAAGGGGACATGTCACTCAAAACTAGATAATGTGTTATGTATCCCTGCTGCTCATTGTGTGTTACTGTTATTGGAACATTTGAAAAGAGCATTTTTTTTTCCTACAGATAATCTATTTTAGAAGTCTAGTGGTTAGCTTGACCTGATTTTTATTTAAATTAAAATTTTTAATTAAGAATTAAGATCACTACTTTATCAACTAGATGTTAGCTACCAAACCAGTTTTCAGTATGATATAAATCAGAAGACAGAAGGATCGATATAGGACTTTCAAAATGTCTGAATGGACAAATGTATGTGTATGTGTTTATATTCTGTGGACAGATGGGAAACTGTTATAGATTACATCAGAGTTAAACCTGAACCTTTTGCATAGATGTTTTGGTAGCTCCAGGTACACTCCTGAGACACTTTAGTAAACACCTAGTGCAGATAATAGACTTTATAAACAGTATTAATTGTAGTAAGAAGCATTACACACTTGAAGAGTATTACAGTAGCATCTATTCCTTATGTGTGCTGTTGTTACATATTTAAATTTAAACACCAAGTATCCACATAATGATAGCAGTTCTGTGCCTTAGTGTATTCACTGCTTTCTGATCTTTTCACAGAAGGTTTTAGTCTTTATTTTGGGACCACAATATGTAATTACAGCCATAGATTTTTTCAAAGCATTACTCTTTCCATATACTCCAGCATTTATTAGTAAACAAAAATTTTCTACAACTGGCAGAGTTACAGAAGTTCAGTTAAACATATCACTTACCCTGCTATTGGTGAAAACAG